AGTTGCTGGCTGGGGTTAAACCCCGACAGGGTGCAAGTCCACAGATTCATGGGACACGAGCCAACTTGAAACTTCACAAACGTCAATTAAGTGATAAACTTGTCATCACGCTACTTTACATCAGGGCTGCAGGGAAAAGCCATGCAACTTGCTTAATTTCTCTTGCAATAGAGCACAAGTCAGCACTGCTGTCCAAGCACCCTGGCTCTGATTTATGCTGTAACAAAACCAAAAGGCAAATAGGGATACGGCAGCCAAGCTATGGTCACAGGCTCTCAGCCGGCACAGGCCCAGTTCTGCTGAAGCCATGGGAGACAAAATGACTCATGTAAGGCTGAGGATCTGCCCTGTGCGTCTACTATGTGCTGAAAAATGTGCAGCTCGCTTAACTTCAAACTTACCCTCAATATCAAGCAATAATTCAACCAGAGGCTACTTGCCACTAGCAGAAATGCACCGATTTTGATACATAATTGGAAATTTAATGCCTGATGCCAAGTGGCGCCATATCTGAAGCTGGTGTCTGGTGAGGGGCAAAAAATGAGACCTTGCTATTCAAACTTGACAGAAGTCCCAAGGCCAATTCAGTAACATGGCTTGTCTCATCTCCCCTCAGTCTTGGAAAGTAAACGTTTTGCAGTAATCTATAGAAATTAGTTTTTGGGAGAAAGCATAGCCTGCTGGTAGAAACAAGGCTTTTCCATAAGCTCACAGCAAGGTGAATCGAAACAGCCACCATCCTCATTAACAGGCAGATTTGCAACATGAGAGTCAGCCTGCAACATTAAATTAACAGAAGAAGAGAGACAAGTTGCACTTACCCAGAGAGAAACTGCGCCCTGTGCAATTCTGGGTCAGTCTGCGGTGTGAGCCCCCGGGCTCTCTGCAGGTATCTGAAATCCCTCCCACCCCAGCACACTTGAAATCTTCCAGGAAAGCTCTCGCCCAGCCCACCTACCACCTTTCAGCTCTGGTGGCCTGTAATCTTCTCCTAGACACAGTTTTCTGCTCCGTGTCACCTGGATACTTGTTCATGTTCTCATGGAGACAGGCTGACACACTTGTCATACAGAAACCTGCCATTAGCTTAAATGTTACTTAGATTATGGCAGTATAAGAAATCGATTATGGCAGTATAAGAAATCAATATAGGAAGGGCACAAGTGAACTAGAAGAAGCAATAACCATCACCTTCATTTTGGGCATGCTGCAGTAAGCAAAACCTACATCTCTATTGTAATTGCGTATCTATTGGGCGTTGCACAACATGAAGGGCAGTAGGAAAATTAAGTGCTAATATAATAGCCACTCAAGCCTCCGGGAGAGAAGGGAGTTATACAACTAATAATCTTTTCGCTGTTCAAGAGTTTCCACGTGCTAGCGAAGAGAGGTTCCATATGCCATCTTTTTCTAAGAGTCTAATTTCACTGCAGTTATTATTTCCTTAGTATTCTGCAGTTCTTTTTTTTTATTTCTACAGAGAAAGATAACTTTGGCTCTTCTGTCACACTCAGTGTATTTTGGATACAGATAGTTGAACAGGAAAAGAGAACAGAAGCAATGCATCTCTGTCCATTCAGAGGAATTATGTGTAAGTACAGGCTTCTGAACTGGACCCATAATCTTAATGCACAAAGCACACTCTGAACAACAGACGCGTATGACTCGAGTGATATACTTGAGTTAATGAAGCCTTTAATCTACAGCACTGCCTGCAGCAGTGATTGGCACTAACTGCTTAATGCAACCACACTGGGACTGGGACGAGAGTGAGCTTCCTAGCCTCCAATCTCAGTTACCCATATCTAAGCCCACCCTCTCATAGCAACAGCTACAGCAAAGAATGTCAATGTCATCGGAAGAATGCACAAGTTCAGTCTGAAAAAATAAATCATGGCATGTAACGCTACGCCTGGGCTCTAGCTGGCACAAATCAGCACAGCTTTTTGCTCAGAAGGACCAAAGCTTTTAGGCTTCTCCCAAAAGGTGTGACTGACATAAATGTTACTGAGATCCTGCTAAGCTTACCTGAGGTGATGATTCCCTCCCTTACTTCATTGAGTTCAGATGTTTAGAAATCCTTCCTAGAATTCATTTGAATTGGCTTGTTTTTTAAACAAGTGCCCTATTTCCATAACCATCTATGTGGTATATAAATGTGCACGTTTACAAGCCTCCTACACAGTAAAATACCATTTTATGATGTATTTAAGTAATGGAAAAAATTACCATGAAAGCAACAATGTTGGGTATAAACAAAGAGAACAAGTAAAATTAACCTCTCTACCGTAAGAGTTACTTCTGACTTAGATGGTTGCTAACACTTTATTCATTAATGCAGAAATAATACATCCTCTATTTAAGGATTTAAGCAAAGGCTGAAATAGTTCAAGGTGTGATCTGGCTTTCTTGTTTTCAACAGTAGTTTGAGGATTAGAGAGCACACTTCCTAATAATAAACCTTTAAAACTGTGCATAGACCTGCTACTGCTACAATTGCCTATAGCACAGAGTCTCTAAGCAACGTGATTTACATCAGGCCCCTCCTCAGGAACTCAAATGATACCCACCCAATTCTCCAGCCCTGTTCAATATTTGTTACTCATGATTACCTTTCTAGATCATACCTTTCAGGTTTTTTTGCCCAGTTTTTGTAAGTGACCTTCATGCTCCCCCAAAGTGACATCCTGCATCTGCCCAGAGGGTCAACAAGGGCTATTCATCTCCTGCACACTTGCAGCCCCTGCAATCAAGGTGCCTGCTGGGCAGAGAGGTCCTTAAGGCAAGGGCTATCTCCCACAAGCTCACGCTGAAAACTGCTTAACCAATAGCGAAAAAAAAAAAAAAAAAAAAAAAACCAACAAACACGTAACGGGACAAAAATCACTAACGAGGCAGTCTCAGAAAGGCCTTTTATTAAGATGGGACCAGTGATGACTGAACAAGAAGGGAATTAAACCTCACATATCCATGAAGCAAATGCGCCATTTATTAATACCGCTTTCCAGCCGCAGGCTCCCAGCCCACACGGCTTTATGCAGAAAAAACAGCTCTTTAATCAGAGCAGTATCAAGAAGAATAATTTTTAAGCAGGATGCTCCTACTTGCCTAGCAGAGTAAGCAGTGAAAGCTTCCCTCCAAGGTGACTTCCAACCAGAGGGAGCATTGCTCACCAGCTGGAGCAGGACCGGCAGGCAAATGCATCTTCTTTGCCACAGCCCAGCGCCACGCAAGTCTAGACTCTGGCATCAGCAGGACCTCAGAGCGCTATCCCAGCTGAGGACCTGGCACAATACATTAAAAGGTATTTTGGCCCTAGACTTGTTTATTTGTGGGCATGCTCCCCGCTCAGTACGTCTGAATTGTGCAGCACCAGAGACAACAGCTTGGCTAGCACTGCACAATGCCTCGGTCTCTCCTTGTGCATGGGGCGGACATGCCAAACCCCCCGGGGCCATGATGCACACCTGGCAGCCAGCAAACAAGCAGTCCTAGCTGCGATCTCACCCTAGCCTCCTCTCCACGGTCCGTGCCTCCCCGCGTGGTTTCTTCCAGCTATCAGTTGTACAGCAGACCTGGAGCTCAGGGTTTCTGACTCTTGTTACAAAAGCGTCCTAAAGAAGGAAAGAGGGGGAGACGCAGGAGACGAGGTTGTGTATAAGTAGTCAGGGCCATCTGCTGCAGTTATGTACAAATGCCATCGCTTTGAAAACAGGAAGCAAAATCATGTCACTCTCGGCTGTGCTCTTCTAGTTCCTCCCCATTGAGGCTGATGCTGCAGTGTACTGGGAGAGAACATACACTGTAGATAAATCAATTCCTCTGGCTAATTTGATTATGCCTCAGGTGCTGCCCCCACAGAGAGCGTCCCCATCGCGTGTCATAGCAGAGATAGCCGCGCTGGCTCCAAACACCTGGTCTATCTATGCAGCAAAAGGCAGTGCGGTACAGAGATAAGGCCTGGGCCCCAAAGGTAGCACCTAGCTGTGGCCAGACCGATTGCCCGCTGCTGTTCCCTTCAGCAAGCGACTCGCCGGAGGGTGCCCACAGCCACCCTGCTTCTCACCCCCTGCACAGCTCCAGCTGGCAGCTGTGCAGGGGCCGCACCATGCTCCCACACAGCGCACGCTGCTGCATGACACCATTTCAGCCTGCCCTTGGCGGACCGCAGCACAGCCGATGCCAGAGCAGCACAGCACGCTCCTTTGGAGGGAGAGCGATGTGAAAACCCACTGAAGGTGATGTGCAAAGAACTGCTCCTTAACAGACTGGAGGCTGGCAGCTCTTTTTTTATGAGCTCTTTGGAGGATCAGACGCCCTCCCCTCCCACCTCTACAGCCACAGTAAACAGCTGCAGCTCTGGTCTCAGCTCCGGGTCTCATCGTCCCTCCAGCTTTCCGCAGCTTCACGCCTGCGTTAGTTGCCTTTGATGAAGCAAAGAGTCGGTATGTCAGCGATGAAGCCAGAGCAGGAACATGCATTGTAACATGTCAAAAGGGCAAGTGGAGAAAAACGATTTTTTTGTTTTTTCCATTTTCCCTCCCAAGTGACCTTCCTGAAGTGTAATTTCTGGTGTAGGTAAAGCCTTCCGGTCTGAACTACGTACACCTTTCCCAACACATACTCACGCTTTAGTTATTTGCCTCCTCTCAAAGCTCAGTTGAAATATACTCTGCAAGACCACACTGATTCACTAGCCTTAAAAGCCAAGTACTGCCTCCTGTGGATTATGAAACAAATTCTGCCAGTTTTTCAGCCATTCCAGTATTGTCCCAGCGTAAGATTTTACTTCTGAGGTACACATACACAATTCACTGTAACCAAAAGCATTACTTAAGGATGAATTTAGCTTATGGCACAGAAGCACAGAGATACCAAACCTCTTTAGTTATTTTTGAAAAGCATTAAAAAAGACTTTGGCACTACAATGGTATAATTTGCAAGCTACTTCCCTCTGTCTCTAAAGATAAAAATCACCCCGAGGCTGCTGATGAACTTACCAGGGACATGTTAATAACTGGGGGAAAATTCATCTTAAGTATCAGACAATGCAAGCTGCTGTGCAGAACTGGCAAAGCAATTTAAAAGTTTTGAACCCTGGCTTTGTGAGTTAAGAACAGGGAAGGGACAGGGTTTCTACCTGTGAGAGAGAATGCACTGGACTGGCCATTAACCGAAACAGGTCAAAACAGGATGACAAGGGATCTGCAGGGAAGCAGGATACCAGCAATAGGTGTCGAGTGCTGCAGCGAAGCGCCAGGCAACTTTCCCACCAACAGTTAGCTGTTCCTACAGCACACGTTAGTCTGCTGGTGTAGTCAGACAAATCCCTCGCTTTCTAGAAACAGGAACATGCAAAGCAGCGTGTCTAACAGCGCAGCCTCTCTGCTGTTCTGGCTGAAAGCATTTTGTCTTCTTTCGCACTGAAACACCGCCCTTCACCTGCAGGGCCAGGACCCGGGGTTGCCGGTCCAGCCTGGCGTGAGCCACGGCTACTTCAGCTACCAGCTTTGCTCCGCCAATCCAGCTGTGCTGCTACACGCATCACCCACTGACAGGGCAGCGGCGAGGCGCTACCTTACTGCTGGGTACGCGAATTAAGCATCATGACTCCCCCGCGAGACAGGCAGGTGACACCATCCCCGCTCCAGCCGTCAGAGGGTGGAAGTGCCAGACTGGCTCGTCGGGGGCGACGAGGTCTCGGTGGGAGGTCGCCCAGCCTACGGCAAGGTCTGCCCGACGCGGTGGCCGACACGAGCCTGAGCCCCCGCCGTCACCTGGACGGCAGAGCCGCCTCCGGGCGGGAAGGCGGAGGCGCCTGCGAGGGCAGGAGGATGCTCCCGGGCGCTGCCAGCCCGCGGCAGCTGGAGCAGAGCCGCTCTGAGCAGGTGCGCCCCGTGCAAAGCAGCGCGTTACTGATGCTTTTAAAAACGTAACGGACAGGAGGAGGAGGAGGAGGGAGCCCCCGGGGCCGCACCGCTGGAGCAACGGCTGCCGGGGGAGGGAGGCAGGGGCGCACGCCCAGGGTCGGGGGAGCATCAGGCGCGCGGGGGGCGGGGTCTCCGCCAACGGTCGCCCGGCGCCCACGGTCACTGCCTCGCAGCCCGGGAGCGGAGCGGAGCACCCACCCCCCTCGGGGACCG